CACAACCACCTGCTTTGGAGACACTGAGCATAAGCACAAGGTGTTCAAAACAAGCAGAAATCACAGCCTACAACACTTAAAGAGGCTGATTGGATGAAAACACACAATATCCTGCTTTAAAAATGCACTCCTGATGATATGTGACATATACTCATGAAGGAGCCTAATTTAACCACAAAATAAACGGCACCTTGATGTAGGAGGACGTCCAAGTGTGTTGTTTACAGATAACTATTTTCAAAAACATAAAAAAACGTGTCCTTCATAAATGAATAAATTTGTACACTCACCGCCCACTTCATCAGCTACACCTCTTCAACTGCATTTTAACACAAACATTTAATCAGCCAACCACATTGCAGAAACTCAGTTCGTTTATGCATGTAGACGTGGTTAAGATGACTTGGTAAAGTTTATACTGAGCATCAAAACGGGGAAAATAAGGCATAGTTGTTGGTAGCAGACAGGCTGGTCTGAGTATTTCAGAAACTGATGATCGACTGGGATTTCTCCATACAACTATCACTAGGGTTTACAGAAAATGGTCAAAAAAGAGAAAATATCCAGCGAGCAGGGGCTCTTTAACCAGAGGAGATTGGCCAAACAGCTTTTAGCTGATAGAAAGGCAAAAACTAACTCAAATAACTATTTGTTACAGGTAGAGCAGCGTGATATCACACCACAACTGTAGAAAGACAAGAGAAACAAAACACACGGACTTGGAAGAATTGGTCGGATTTGTACAAAATGAAAAGCCCAGCAATGGACAGATGCAATGATACTGATGTTTACACCCTCGTGCAATAAAGAGGATGTCCTTTGTATCACAAGACATGATAAGACGGCTGATCAATTTGTTTCACTAACTCATCTAAACGTTAGGGTATAGGAGCTATGGCACTTGGCTGTAATCTTCACATTTCAACTTTTTTTCCTCAAAAGAGTATTTCAAGTTTTTTCTTGAAATAGAATTTCATCTTTGATCTTGATATTTTGACTTTATACCAAATGATTAATAAGAATTTTCTTAATGTGGCCTTGTAACAATGTAACAATACAGTCCTTTTACGTGACATATCCTGCAATAGAAACCCTCCATCAACTTTGGAATATCCCAAGAGAGCCTGCTAACGCTTTTCAAACCAAAAAGAATAAGAAATATACATATTCCGTTAAAAGTGTTTAATAACAGCACCTTTAATAGATCAAATCTAGTTAAAAATATCTGTCAATATTCTGCAAAGACACCTCATGTGTATAAAACAACACCGCCTATGGTTAGAACAAACAGTAGCTGCTGTGTGTCACAGATAGGTATGGCATGAGTTAACAAACCAGCTATGGTCTTTTACCCAGACCAAGCAACTACACCATGCCAAAATAAAAAAATAAATGAATAAATAAAATGTAAAAAAATAAATAAATACAACTGAGAAAAAGAAATATGATTCACATAAATGCAATAAATCCACACAAAGTAGTTCAAACAAAAGCGGCAATGTTTCCTGATGGAATTTGGAGATAATTTTGAAAATCTTTTAGGTGGAAAAAAATAATAAATCAGCAAGCAGTGACATCATTATTCATCCTCTTCAAGCAAGGCAGATTAGATCAATATAAACTGTTTGGACAACCTGATTTACATTTTAAGATTAAAGCTTAGCAAGAGCTTAAAAATAAACCTTGTTTATCTGGAAAATTGATATCCTTATAGATAAATGGGACTAGCTTAAAAGCAACAGTCATGTTTCTGTAAGCAAGTGCTGCCATCTAGGAGCACACGTAATTGATCAAATTAATCACATCCCTACTAAACACCACTGAGACGAAGCAGCAGCTTGATATTTCTTTTTCAGTCCGAGCGGGGCAGAATAACTTTAGTAGAGTTTCAATTGCTTTTTCCCGATGCAAACATTTTTAAACTGATAAATTTCTCTTTTTGAAATTGATATTTTTTTTAAATTACAAAGGTTTACTTTCCTCACACTGGAGCAGGGTTGGGAAATCAGTCAGGAAGAGGAGCCTTTCATTTATGTGCAACTCATAGTGAAATTCAGCAGGTTTTTCCAAATTACTTAATGACCCACAGCACACATCATTGAGACAACTTCCTCAAAACACAGTCACACATGCGCACACACACAGAGTTTACCATTGGTTAGCTACAAGCATCAGTAGATTCCTCAGAGGCCAGCCCGGATGTTGGGACAGAGTACACGGATCATAGATACCCACAGTAACCTAGAGAAAACAAACAAGGTATGTTTACATTAGCAAGGTGTGAATGCGTATATGTGTTATTATGTGAGTGTGTAACAGTAGACAACTTTAGTAAAATGTGATGAGCCAATAAAACTACAGTAGAAATCCAGTTTGAAGCCACAACAAAATAAATTTTAAACCTTATTTAAAAAAACGAGTCTGTTTGAATCTTTTCAAACAATTTAAACTATTACAGAATGAACAAAAATAGGTTTGGAAACTTTTGGTGTACTTTAAATCATACTATTATGATATTAATCTAAGTGCAAAAAAAGTAGCAGACACACAGAATAATAACATATAAGTTTATATTTTATAAATATAAAAATCTTCTTGAAACCTTCTTAGTATCACTGAAAAATGTCTCCCAGTCCCCCAGCACGGCCATCTGAACTGACTCATCTGTGTATTTTATTAGGAAATAAGGAACTGCAGTGGCTCCTGTTTTGATGCACAGGCCATCATAAGCATCCTGCAGGGCTGCAATCTAAGACAGAAATTAGAAGTTAGAAAAATCCAGCAAATCAAACATATCACAAGTGCTGAAGTCAGTGCAGCAATTCTCAACCAAGTGACCTGAAAGGCATGAAAACCGAATTATTCAGTAAAATTCTTTTGGTTTATATAGATGAAGCAGTGGAAGACACTGATAGCACTTTATATTCATCATATAAAATAGCTAATAGTAATTGTAGAGTTTTAACTTTTTCAGAAAAGGTCATTTAAGGATAACTTCAAAGTGTAATATCTAAAATTATATGGTGATCTTTAAAAATCCAACCTGCTTTGCAGAGAAAGCCTGATCTAGGACGGAGGGCGGTCGGACAAGCGTTATCGCCTCTTTGAAACAGAGAGCAGGAAAGCAGAACCAGTAGTAGAAATTGTACTTCTTCAAATCCTGTTTAAAAAGAGTAACCAGAACAAGAGAGAAACATGAAAGGAAACTGGTTACATGAAGTTGTAAAAATGTGGAAACAAAAGCAAAAAAGAACAAGCAAACATATATGATCATATTTTTACGCACTGCAAAGGTAAGGAGAATAAATCTACAAAGGATGGACGGGTCCTTCAGTGCAGCTCCAGACTGTATAGCATCCCAAATCTACCCAACAAAGAGAGATAATACAAAAGAAAAAAATAATCAATAATTTAATCAGGTAATGTTCTGTTGGGAAATATGACCATTCTAATGCCTACTTTATAGATAATCCACTTTCAACATGTTTTTGATGTCAGAACAAATTGCCACTGGATGTCTCTTACCTCCTTGGCTTCTTTCTCCAACAGAGCCTTCTTATCAGTAGTCTTAAAGGCATCAAGAGTGTTGGTGTTGTACAGCGTTCCCAAAGCTGGGCAGCAACGAGCGGGAGTTGAACCATCACTAACAGCAATAAACCAACACATTTTTCATTAAACTGTATGTTCACAGTGTAAACATACTGACCACCAGAAACCAGTGGGCTATATAAAAGTTAATTTTTCCCTATATAGAAGTACATACACAAAATATCTCTGTGACAACTGCACAATCGGATGAAGGCCACGAAATTATTATTTTTTTCTTTAGACACACAGGCTTTTTATAACTGTTCAGAGCCCATTTAAAAATACTGGCAGCTTTCAGTGCTTCCCCTCTGCCTCACTGTAGCTGCACCTATGGAATAAGTCTAAACATCCTGGGTGACTTGCTTCTTGCATTATGGCATTCACAAGATTTTCAGAAAACTTGACCTCTAATCTTCAGGTGGAGGTCACCGAGATTCAAACTCGTCCAAGATTTTTAGTAGATGGTATCAATTTAGGGGTCTACACTGTCCTCCCACCTGCCCTGCAGTGTGACCCCAACAGTCTATGCTATGCTTTTATTTTGGCTTTGTTTACAATGACACTGTGCATCACAAGACTCAATGGCAGCAGAAAAACTTAGCAGAAGTATAATGCTTCTTTACACAACATAATGCCTTATACTTACACATCAAATGCACTGTACTCCAAAGTCAGACGGGTTGGCAAACCAAGAGGATCACCTATCAGACATGAAAGTCGATCAGCCACATTGGTAATAGAAAATACAGATCTGTCAATCAAGTGGGAAAACTGCATTTGGCAGTGAGTGAGTGTGTTGCTTATTCTGTCTTCCTCCCATCACCCTCAACCAGTAATGGCAGATAGCTGTCCCTCCCTGAGCCTGGTCCTGCTGCAGGTTTCTTCCAGTTAAAAGGGAGTTTTTCCTTCCCACTGGCGCCATGTACTTCATCATAGGGGGCAGTTTGATTGTCGGGGTTTCTTTCTATTATTGTAGGGTCTTTATCTTACAATATAAAGTGCCTTGAGGCAACTTGTTATGATTTAGCGCTATATGAATACAATCGAATTGAACTGATCTTTTATTGAAACCACGCCATCAGAACACTCACCATTGTAGTAGTATCCTTTGATACATTTGGGACTCTCATCCAATCTGTAGTCATTGAGTTTCTTCTGAGTAAGCTCATGCCAAAAGCCTGCTTCCAGAGCGCTGCTGAAAGGAGCAAACTGCAGCTTAAGTTCTGCAGTGGACGGCGATGCCTCACTGATGTCAGATGCCATTACACTTCACAGGGCGCCACGTTCAACAAGCTGTGAAATAAAACAGCAGACGGCTATGAAACACTTGCAGGCACTATAATAACTTATGACTTAGATACACAAAGAGTAGTAAAAGTAACTCTCGCACTGTTAAAGTAAACAGTCTGAATAAAAGCACAGAATAAAAGCTGCACTTGTATACTGTTTTATTACTTTGGAGTGCCTCAATTACCAGTTCACACTTGCACAACAATTATGGGAAAACTCCCTTGCAAGGAGCTGGCCTGCCCATCAGGAGTAACTTGGGGTTCAATGTCTTGCCCAAAATCACTCACATGTTGGTAGCCCTGTCAGCCTGTCAGCCCTGTGATTAGTGGATACCTCAGAGGTATCCACTAATCACAGCCCTGTGATTAGTGGATACCTCAATCAGGAGCTCCTGCTGATCACATAATAATCAGTTCATTATCTGCTGAGCCCTAAATTTCCAATGCTGCTGTTTAATTGACAACCCAGTGAAGAATCTGATTTGAGTAAGCTTATTACTCAGCCAGGTTTAAAATTACTCGATGAGTACATCGCCCAAGATATCAGAGTTGTAACTATATGTGCTTTTGATATGTGAAAGTATCTGCCACACATGCAAATGAAGGAAAAAAAAAATCACACTATTGTCAGTTGTCTTTTTCTTCTTTCAGCTGCTCCCTTTAGGGGTCACCACAGCAGATCATCTGCCTCCTTCTCACCCTGTCCCTAGCATTCGACTCAGTCACACCAACCCTTTGTAAATCCTCCTTCACTACTAGGGCTGGACTGGTAATGCATATTAGGCATTTTCCTGGTAGGTCAATATTTTTTTTTCTTTGTTGCTATAATCATACAGGCCACCTGCCATGGTGCACTGGCACTACAAACACTGACACTAGTAGTGTAAAGCACTTTGGGGTCCTTAGGGACTAAGTAAAGCGCTATACAAATACAGGCCATTTACCATTTTAGTCCAGTGGACAATTTTTATTAGTAACCCTGGATAGACCAATATAATCTTTTAATGCAACCATCTCTCCTACAGACACAGATGGACAAACAAAAGCACAAAAAAAGGTGTCAGTGAAAAGCCAAGAGAGAAAAAGAAAAAGAAACTAGGCATATATGCAGCAAAATGTTTATATACATATTAGCAACTGCACTGCCAACAGTAGTACCAGCAACCACTACTATAAAGCTCTCACAGTCACAGTACTGCTCCTGTTTCCAGCACTAGCCATGGAGAAATGAAGGAGGAGGGAGAGCAGTTCCAACAAGAGAGCGAGGAAGGTGTAAATAATATGGTAAGGAAATAAATGGAAGGACATGATTATCAAGGGAGACATTCAAGTAAAATAACCCACCATCTAAAATGTAAAATGACCAAAAGCCACTGCTAATAGCTAAAGTGTAGCTTTTAACTGTGCCATGCTGCACTAAAGCACAACAAAGACTTCCTAACCCAACAACAAGTGTACCAACGTGGTTAAAAAAAGAATAAATATTTATTTATTCATTCATTCATTCATTCATTGATCATAGTCAGCCGCCTGGACCAAATATGCCAGGGCTGATTTGTTGTCCCAGTTGTTCACTTCATCAGTGAATCTTCTCTGAGGTCTTCATCTTTTCCTCCTCCCTGGCATCTCTATATTCAACATCCTTTGTCCATCCTCTATTACTATTGTGCAGGTCCAAACCATCTCAGCCTTGGCTCTCTAACTTTACCTCCACACCGTTAAACTTCTGATACACTGATTTCTAACCGTGTCCACCTTGGTCAATCCAAACAAGATTTTAACATTTTCAGCTCAACCACTTTGCTCAACCGTCTTTTTGTCAGCACCACAATCTTCAAACCATACAAGACGCTATGATGTGTGGATGGTCTCAGTCCCATCTTATAAAAATTCTCTTTAACTCGTGGTACTGTATATCTGTCACAAATAACCCCATATGTGATGGCAAGCTACATGAACAATAAACTGGACATTTAAAAAAGAAAAAAAGAGGATTCGTGTTTCTTTTCCTGTATCCCATCCACGTGCATAATCCATGAAAAGATAAAGGATTTTAAAATATTTGTGACCAGCTCAGCTGCAAAGAGAGCCTAAACTCTGGTTAAATAATGAGCACCAAACCTTCGACACTAAGCATTTAATGGCTGTCAGTCTTGGCATGTTAATGATTAAATTCTACGTTTACTTTTTTTCGTGTCTTTAACTGTTTTCTCTTGCTGAGAAGTAAAGTCAGCTCAACAGAGACCACACAATGAAACCCAGCAGCTTTAGCACTTCAAGCGCTTTTTAACGCGACGAAAATTCTCATGGAAATAAATCATAAAATAAGACATCCCTGCATCACAACACAGACAACTTATGTCCGCTTCAGACAGATACATACATGTTTATACGTTAACGTCTAACAGGACTTGTGCACTTACCATAAAACCTTACTTCCTGGTGAAGGAGATCATGTGATCGCGAGTCTTGTAAATAAAGCAGTGCAGTGTGGGTAAGCTTTAGCTTACTTGCTACGGTTTCTTGTCTTTATGGTGCAAGCACCATTGAGTAAAATACAAAGAACCAAAACATAAACAAGAACGCGCAGACGATAAAGCAGGAGAAAACAGACAAAAACCTGTAGGCGCCGTTTCTTTTCATTTCGGAGACTGCTACAGAGGGTGAAGCGTTTGTAATGAACGTACCGCCGGTTTTAGCTTGTGAAATTACAAACGCAACATAATAGTGGTGAAACCGGTAAAGCTACTTCTGCTCCTACTTTTGGGCTCAATTATGACTTCAGTTTTCACCAGAAATTATCTGTATGTGAACGGCGGACCGTACGGAAACAGGGTTAGGGACCGTCGCAAAACTGTGCTGCTGTACAAAAACGCACGATATAAATTAAAAGATGTCATGTTTTGGCCAGGAGGCTAAAACAAACTGAGAAAATCCCTCTAAGATAATATGAAGCCCACAAAGTGTCACCTCTTTGTATTTGTATTTTCCTGGATGACAACCACAGTATCCAGTGGTAGCCCCTGCACTGTGAAGGACAGCATGTAATAATACCACCCCCCTTTTTAAATAGCTTGTTCTACATGGAACAGCTATTACCACATGTATAAGCCACTGAGCTCTTGAATCCTTCCTGAAGGACAACACAGGAACAAAAGTACAAGTGATCAAGGTTTCCTTGTACCTTATCATTTAAACACAAGAACACTTTGAAGTAGCAGATGAGACTAGCGGTTCAACGAAAGCATAAAATGCTTTGAAAGTACTCCGTTTGTTAGATGGAGTACATGTTTACAGTGGAAATCTTCAACGGGGTAAGTTCAGGGACATTGTGTGAGCTGTGTTAACTGGTTTAATGAAACAAGGAAACATCTCACAATGATGCTCATGCAGATGCAGACTGTCGAGTTGTGTTGCTCTTAACTAATCTTTAAAAAAAACCTTGACTGATATAAAACTGCTCCTACTCCTACAGGCTGATATTTCCCCCTTCAACAGCTCATGGTTTAATCATTGTAAGGTGAGATATATGTGTTATTATTAATAATTGAATTTCTTCTTTTTTTGTTCAGTTTTTTTTTTTTTTTGCTTGGATAAGACCGCTCCAGGTTTCAATTTTTGATGAAAGTGTGTGTATGTTTTTCTGATTCAGACCTTCAACACAAACTGGTTTATTACAGTAAACTATAAGGTAAAACTGAATTGAGATTTTCAGATCTGCACCATGGAGTCCATTCCAGTTTATACAGATTAAAAGAAAAACAGTTCTTATTTTAGCACAAGTAACCTGAGAGACACGCTATAGAAACTCATGAATGATGCCCGTGCTGGGTTATTAAGAGAGAGGGGATGAGGGACATTGGCATATTGTTGAAAATGTCTCATGCTCATTTAAATGATCTTCACTTGGTACTACAGGACCTAAACTGTGCCAAAAAAATATCCCTTCATCATTACATCACCAGCAGGTTGAATCACTCATACAAGGCAGGATGGCTCTATCTATCATCTTGTTTAGGCAAAATTAGGTAAACTATCTCAACATTGCAGGAGAAACTGAGACTCATCAGAGTAGCCAGTGTTTTTCCAGTCTCCGCTTGTCCATTATAGATGAACCTTTGTGAACTGTAGCTCAGTTTCCTGTTCTTAGCTGGAAGCACTGGCGCCTGTTGTGATCTTTTACTGCTGTAGCCCATCTGCTTCAAGATTCAACATGTTGTACAATGAGAGATGCTTTTCTGCATACCTTGGTTGTAACAAATGATTATCTAAGTTACTGCTGCAGTCTGGCTATTCACCACGATCTGTGAAAACAACCTGGCATTTTCTTCCAGAGAACTGCCTTTTGCTGGATATTTTCTCTTTTTCGAACCATTCTCTGTAAACCCTAGAGATGGCTGTGTGGGAAACTCTCAGCAGATCAACAGTTTCTGAAACACTCAGCTTGTCTGTCACCAACAACCATGCCGCATTGAAGGTCACTTAAATAACCTTTCTTCCCCATTCAGATCATTGGTTTGAAAAGCTGTAGTTGAACAGGTGTACTTAATAAAGTGACCAATGGGTACATTTGATGGAATCTTGCTGCAGCATGGGCATTGGGTTTTGTCCCAGGTTAATTAGGTCATGTGTTCAGCATTTCACATAAATGTTCTTGCCAAAGTCAGCACCTCAAACTAATGACAAAATAAAATTAGAAAAACAGTTTGAAGCTAATAGTGTTAATGACGTGAGGCTCGAAGGACTAGCACATTAGAAAGTTTTATTTTTAGTTTTAGGTGTACATCATAAACAGGACATTAAATGTCATCAATTCTTTTTTTTTTCTTTCAGATTGACTTCGGTTTTATTTCATTACTGTATCATGCATGAAATAATATGCCAGCCTAAATAGGCTTACAAGACACCGATAACAAAAAACAGAATATAAACCAGAACACTGTACACCCACAGGTTTTAATCATACTCTGGTGATCATTATAAGCATTATGCAAAACCTTTGCCCTCAACATGAGACACCAGGCATTAAAAGCGCATAGGCAGCAACTTCACTTTGACATAAAAGTATCCAAACTACTTAAAAAAAAACAACAACAACAAAAAAAACAACAACACACAAACAGCAAAACATTCAGTGGGACATAATATTCATTACAAAGAGTTACCTCAGGGGAAGCTCTTTGCAGAACCTTTTCAAGCAACAGATAAACAGCATATAAAATGAAATTTTCTTCCCCTTTGTCTTGTTTTTAATGAGAAGTGTACTCTGTGCAGTCACACACATCCGTCTTCCCATCATCACCTCTTCCAGCTCAATTTCAGCCTCCTCTGATTTGTTTGATTTGGCTGCACAGTGACTCACAACGTTGCCACGCTCATTACAACATTATTTCAGACACTATGATTCACATATTAAAATATGAAATTCAGTTCTTTGTCCCTGCACCCCCTAAAATCTGAAGTGACACTGTGCAAAACGTAACAGTGTAAGGAAATGTCCTTAATTCCATTTATCCTTATTTTCTTTTTACAAGGAAGTTGCTAGCATAGCTAACACGGGAGTTACTGGGAGAAAGAGTTGCACCATGAAGCTCTGTGTATAGCCTGGATGCACTTGAATGCGTTTGTTACAAAATACTGACACAAATCCATTAAAGAAGTCTCAGATTTATAGTGTGCTGCAGCATTTTTTAATCATTTTCGACACTCTTTGGCTAATGACGTGTAGCGACTTGCTACACCTTATAACAGATAAGCAACTTATTCCCATCAGGGAGAGAAACAAAACCTTTCTGCAGTTCGAAAGAACCCTGTGACAAATAGTTTGTTCTGGTAGTAGTTTTGTCTTCATAATCAGGTTTTTGCTCATATATTTCCAATTTCGTTATACTATGTATAATGACAATAAAGGCTTTCAATTCAATATATTAACCTATTAGACTTAATGGCAGGAAATAGATGACAAAGCACGACCAGGTAGAACAAGATCAGAGGTTTTCTTCAAGTTAGTGTAGGTGACTGAATGTGCTTGTTTAGAGTTGCCATTCTTAATTAAAAAAAAACATAAAAAATAAAGACAGGCGGTATCATAATTCAGCCCTTCCTCGATCACTAGTACCAAGCACCAAGATGCATCTAAAGTCTCGTACTCTGTTTAAATAATAAGGAGAATGACTCACAATGTGGTTGTCATTTTCAAAGAAAATCTTCTCCTTGTTCTTTTTTTTTAAACAATATTAATCATATTTCACATTATGTGTCATATGGTATATTCCTAGCACAGAAAATCAATTTAAAACATTTTTTTCAAAATACAATTTTTACATAGTTTTTCCTTCAAATTCTTGATGCCAGCTATAGCAAAAATCAAAGCTCAAATTCTTCTGTGACACAGTCTATTATTATTATTATAATTACTATTATAATTAGTGTAACATAAACAAAATAAATAACATTAAACTGACATATTATCCTCAGCTTGAGTCTTGAGTCCAAAGAATTGGTGTTTATAAAAATAAAATGCAGAACATAAAAGGAATAGCACACTTTTTGGTCAACGCTTGATGAGACACTTTTTCTTTTTGCTAATTCTGCTGTTGTCTCAACATTTAGACGCCTGCGATTGTGATCTGCTCATTTACAGTCACAAAGGAATGTTAAGAATATTTTTAAAGACCCGTTTAAAGTTTCCATTGCAGAGCGGGTATATAAAAGGGTTTAGAGTAGAGTTGATGTAACCCAGCCATATGGTGAACATGTGCAGGTCATGGTGGACACACTCTCTACAGAAGGCCATGACCATGAAAGCTATGAAGTATGGTATCCAACACAATAAGAAAGCGGCAATTATGAAGCCCAGCTGCTTGGCTGCTTTGTGCTCTTTGTGGATCCTCAGACTGTGGATGCGATGGCGTGATTGGTCAATGAACTTTTGCCACGCCTGTCTCAGAGTAATTTCATTATCCGCGTCTAATTTGGCATCTTCTATTGCTTCCTCGGCCCAAGGTAGAGCTTGGCTGGGGTCGTAGTTGTTGCTGAGCACAGATGTGTATCTCTGCACGTCTGATACCTTGTTGGTATCGCAGACTCCGCTCACTGGGTTTGGCACTGTCACATGGCATTCGTTTAAAGACGCTTGAAGTTTGTTCTCATTATTTCCACCTGAGCAAATCACGTCCTGTGGTGCCGATGGCTGGCTCTGGGGAACCTCGCAGTCTGGTTGCTTCTCCTCAGGAGACAAAGAGCACCTTTTAGTCTTTCGTGCCATTCTGAGACCTTTTGTTGTCATGGCAAGCAATGACGTCTGCTGGCACTTTACACCAATTTTTCTGTGCACTCTTGATAGAGCAGTTTTACTGTTTTTATCAGCGTCTTCAAGGGGATCTGTCTGTTCGAGAGTATTCTGGTCTAGCAGTTTTTCTGTTTTGGATCCTTTCATTAAAACCTCACTTTCCCTCTTAGGTGACTTGGAGTCATTTTTCACAGAGGTTTGAAGATTTTGTCCATTGTCGTTTTCTCCAAATGAATCAGTTGGATGAATGATTCTCTCTCTGTCCCGTAGATGTTGTCTTACTGCCAAATAGATATATGTGTAAAACCACAACATCAAAACAGAGGGTACGTAGAAGTTGAAGACTGCGGTAATGACCTTAAACCACGTGACAAAACGAAAATCTGTGTCACACTTATTTTCCTCTTCAGGTTTGAGGTCCACGTGTGTGAAAGACCTCCATCCTAAAATAGGAATAACCCACATCATGGACAGCAGCCAGGCTCCAGAAATCATCACACTGGCTTTTCCCCGTGTTCGATATTTTAGGTACTTAAGCGGCTGTCTC